CATGGTACTGGGTAAAAATTTTGCAAATTCGTTAAAACACGGCAATCGAAATTCTGGCAGCACCACTTAGTTGTAAATACCTCTATAATAAGTGTCCGACTATGTTGGTACAGTAATTGAATCGTAAAATGTAGATAAAGCAGACGAAATGAAATATTCACATGTATACTGAGGATTAACGGATTGCACAACTATGTATCAGTTCACATAAATTAAAATGAATTGTCCATGAAAATACATAGGCAGTAAAATTGTACTGTATTATATACTATTGTATATAATGTATACTACTGTATTGTACTATATACTAGTGTCCGTCTATCAAACATTTGCATGTATACTGAATAACGTCTTTTCTAGTTGCTCCGTTTCACAAAATACGCAATGTAATGTGTGTATCATGTTACAACAGACTACACTAGTCGAATTGTGTATTTAGTATTGTCCTATATCCATGCAGATGAATCTTCACGCAGATAAAATATGCAAAAATTCTTGTCATCGTCAAATGAAACATTTACACTACTATACAGTTGAGGTGACCAATATCAATTACCCGTAACTGTAGTAGCAAACCAGCGGTACTATCATCCGGTTATGTTTAAATCATTGCTATCCTGTTATGCTACTGGTGAAGAGTATAGCTCAATTTGAGAAGCATAAACTACGTTACTCCACGCATTAAAAGACCAAGAATAAAACGCCAATAATCACAGGACAACAACACAAAAGTAAGCAAACAAATAAATGGTTGAACGATCCACAGTACAGGGCACAAAAGACAGGAAAAGCCTTTACAACGACCGTAACATTATCAGGACTGGCCTAGGTACGAATCACTGCTCCAAAACAGGAAAACAAAAACGATACTTTTTTTTCCAACTTCCAATACTTTACAAAACAATGTTGTCTACAACTTAACTAGAATGTTACACAACAAACCAAATGTAAATATCATATTAATCTTCCCTTGACGTGGCCATATTCTAGCGGTAGCTTTTGTGGCAGATATTTTCGCGGGTCGGAATAGTCGACAGAGGAATCACCGAACACTGTAGGTGAAATTTCAAACAGAAGTGGAACTCTGCGGTACTTCTAGGTGTGCAATTGAAGAAGCGCTTCTGCCCGGTTGCTAGAAGATTCGAAAAATAATGTACAAAACTTTTTAATTTTTACAAATCGCATGCAAATCTTAGCAAACCAAGTTTTGAAAATGGATGGACTGATTGTTAGCTGCAATGAAACGAAGGTTTAAAAATCACAAGTGTATTAAAGTGATTTGCAAACGGACCGAAAAGCTGGTTGGCATTAGACGGTGGTGATAAACATGGGAACATGTCGTATTTTTTCGCTAGAAAAATATGTTCTTTATATGGCAGGTTTTCAGATCACTACGTACAGCCCATCCGATACTAATAAACGGAATCATTTGCGTATAATCGTTATATGATATCGTAATCGTAATGTCTTTAAAATTTTAAACTGCGCCTATTTCAATTATTCGTGGTATTTTAGGTTGCCGAAGTTATGGCATCTTTCTATATAGTTCCCACTGGGAAAATTCATACTCAAAACAGTGTTCTATTGCACTCGTAGCATCCTGCAGACATTCCATAAAACTTTTGGAAAAATTCCTAATCTTCTGAAAAAGAAATAAACGCAGAATTGAAACGAGTCATTGAAAACCTTTATGAGGACTGATTAAAATCTGGTTTCCCATTAATGCAGTATCTAATCGCATTGTTTGCCCGGATGAAAGATATTTTATTTCGAATGACACTTTCGTAGTTATAACAGTCTATCGCTGCTTTTCTTCGTTAAAACTACAACCATTACCTTAAATCGCTAATAATTTAAGAACGTGAGTCGGGATTGAAATGAGCATCACAAATCACAAGTCTGCATTAATTGGAAAGTGCGCAACGTATCTGCTATATTGGACGAATTCTCACATGATAGTTCTCAGGTTCAACTATGTCTGTCATGCTTTACGGAGCGACAGCCAATGCCCAAAAAATGTTTTGTTTTTTACTGAGCACCTGGCATTCATAAACTTGATCACTTACTGTTAATAGACATTTTGACGTTATTATATGCACAGATCGCGATGAACCTGGTCTTGAGCTACGAATCATTGGGTTCCAAACCATCTGGTCCATCACTTTTTTCCGTTCATCATTTGCTATGGAGCATGCAGCTGCATCCATCCGTTAATGTCAAATTGTTGAACAAACTTCAATTAATTTTAAGTAGAAAAGTGATGATCCATTGACGCAAACATTAACGACAGTAAATGTGAAAGCCATACTATGGCATATGAAGAGGAAATGCATACGAATGGAAAAATTAGGCATCTAAATGAAATCATCCTTTCTTTTGAATGTGATTCGATAAATGACGCTTCCTTGGTATAGAAGTTTGCGCTAGAACAACTTTCGATTAACTTCAGGTAATGGGAATTGACGCCTTCCTCAAACTATTCAGAAAGCACTCCTCAGACAGATGGGATCATGTCTAAAGTGTTAGTGCTGTGTAAAACCGAACTGAGTGGCGTACTCTGCAATTTGTTTAATAACTGTTTTCGTTCTGAAGTCATTGCGGATCGTTGGACGAAGTCCTAAATTATTATTCTGTACAAGTACTCCGAGATATCCGAAGTTTCAAGAGCAATTACATGAACATAATATTCTGACTTGCCATTAACCTTCTGCATAAACACGTTTCATGGAACTGGTTAATACCACAGTAACGGATGCGTTCATGCTGATATAAACGCTAATCATTGCACGCGCTAATAAACCTGACTTGACTAACCCACTGCATATGTGAATCCATGAAGAAAAAATGATGTCATGATGCCAAATGTTCCTATCATAACATTATTATCATTACTTTTGATCAAATGAGTGAAACTTGCCTGTCAGACAAAAGTTAGGAAATCATTAAGGAATACGCCTCATTAAGCTATTGTATTTGTTACGAACAAAAAAAATAACATGTAATAAAAGTAAATTAAAACCTACATAAGAATTAAGCCAGGAAATCACGCAACGATTCTTCGTAAAGTGTACGATAGTATACATGAGCTGCTTCAAAAGTGCAGACGAATCTGATAAAAAATATATTGTAATTTTACATGGAAAATACGCATGGCTGCATACACGAAAAAATGAAACTCAACACCTTATTAGTGCGAATTCTTATGCACTGTACTGTGCTATAATCACCGTCATCTATCTCATACTACCGCATCATCCCTATATAGTAAGCATTTAAAACGATCTGAAGATGAAATTCTCTCAACACCTTTTCATTAATGTCGTAAACTAGTCGCAGCTTTCAAACAAAGAAATTGAGTAAGTTCGGAGACTAAAACTGTCTCCTTGTCAATCACGTGCAGGATGAAGAGAAACTCACTAGAAGGCTCGAGTACATCCCAACATCGTTGATATACGTGCAACATTAGATTAACAACCGAGGGGAGAATCATTTATCATTCTTTGGGGTGATTCCTACCTCAATCAAAGCCCCCAGGCAGGATAAACAATAACGATTACAGGTGTGAACTCCGGAATGTTGTCTGTCGTGTTGGTGTCCTACTGGAGAAAAACGTTTAAGCTTTCATAGCACATTCAGCGCCTCTTCGATAACAGATACTGAAGTGATGCTACAACCACGAAACTTGCTACGGAAAAGAAACGAAATGTGTTCACAGGAAATTGCACCACCTGTGGCTACTATAGACACAGGTCATGAAACGTTTGAGCTAAAACAGGGCACCTCGTAAAGATTCGGGATATTGCTGATTGTCAGGCCACCTCAGATGGTCAACCGAAATTGGTTACACAGTGGTGGAAGTACGGTGGAGGTACCGAACGTCCTTCGCAAATGATTAAATGTAGTTACAGACATCGAGAGCGATCTCAACATAGCATCAAGCCTGAAATTTCAAAAATTCACCAACAAAACAGGATCCGATTTCTTCTACCAGCCGATAAGTGTTTTTAAGTTTTTTTCTATGCGAAACGATTGACGAATAATTATTGGAAAATCGTGGTAAACAAATGGTGCCAGTAACGTATGCAAAACACAAGAGAGCGATAAAATAGCGATGACAATGATTAACTTATCTTAGAAGGGTGGTGTCTCATTCAGAAATTAAACATCAACTTCTGCCCGGTTTGCATTTAGTCGTCATACCAAATGAGAATATTTTTATGAAGGTGAATGATGTAATTTACCGAATGATCATCAGATAGAAACTGTACCTTCAGATCTGAATCATTTTACTGTGTTATCCCCCGTCTTGATTTAGTGGAACAAAGCGCGGCTGCTTACGAATACTAAACTAAACCTTTAAGCATGATCACGTTACAACAGACAGTTAGATTATTACCATGCTCATGATGCTACTAGTGATGCTTTTTCAAAATGTTTAACAATACGTTCACAACACAACAACAACTATATCAATAATCACGTAGTCCGTAGAGTACAGTGCATACATGATGATCTACATGTGACATTCCAAGAAAGCTAAATGTCATGAGATGAAATCGAACAATACAATTATTTCATATCGATGTTGAAGTACTTTCTCGAACACCTCATATCTCATTTACGTAGAGGCCCGAGTTTTAATGATGATGAGTTTCACTTGTGCCGGAACCCAAAGGCAATTCACTTCTCTTTATCCACCTCATACGTCTGCGGATGTAAAATTAAAACCCATACATTGCTGCAAGACAAAAATCTGGAATATCACATCTGCTTTAGACACGTCTGAATCGACGCGCCCTCTGAGAAGAATATTATCATCAAAAAGATATCAAATACCGCCCTCAGATTAGTTAGCCATAATTAAAGTGCACTGATTATGTGGGTTTCACTGCATCGATCAAGTCTCAGTTGATTCCACCATAGAAACATCTGTACTAGAGATTAAATCATGTTTCTTGCTCTTACGTACAACCGACGTAATTGTAATGATCTTTAACAGTATGCTCGACGTTCGCCAGGTTGCAGAAACCAAAGACCTGGTAAAACTTCCGGCACCATTTCCGGGAAGGGCATTCTGAACTGGCAGACAAGTTTTCACAGTACGCCATCAAATGCGCCCAGAACAGAGTGACCTATAATGCCCATCGAAAAATACAGATGGCCGATCGAAAATCGCGTCCGAGCTACTTTTCACGAACCGTGTTTCAGCAGTGAACAACAGCAGATTTGAAATCAAATTAAAAGGAATGGTGAGTATTGGACAAATAAATACGGATTACCTTCGGCATATGTGATTGATGTGAAATAATGACTTTGGATCAACATCATTTTCAGTTTTCGTTGAGGCATGGTGAAGAAATAAGGAAAGCAGAACGACACATGAAATCGCTTCGCATTCGTTGCCATCAGCCCAAGAAAAACAAACATTTTGCATGTGCTTCATCTCACGGCTGTTTCACTTTCACTGCCAGCATTCGTCTTGACATTTAAAACCAGCGTCTGTCACTTTTCGCTGCCCTTTCAGTATACCGTTTCAAATACATAGAGTTCTGTGATAAACATGACATACCTCTGAGTAACCAGAAATTACATATATTATACTTAAATCGAATAAATTAAGTTTCATTCTGTGCTCAGAC